CTTGATCACAAGTCATCTGTTACCCTATTCTCTCCTCCCCTATTCCTACAAGGAGTCCTTCAAATGCTCCTCCCAAGGTGATTAGGGCCTTTTACAATTGGAATACGAGTAATGATTGATTTATCAGCGTAAAATTGAAATTTGTTACAGATTTGGGAGGCCGGCACAGTATCGTATTCTTCATAGCTACTGATCAGGGAAATATATTTAAAATTGTGAAAGATATCCATGAAAACGATGCAACACATGTTTTCTCAATGAAAGCTGTTGAGGTAATTTTTCAGTCAACACTGTGTGCCAGTAAGGAGCGATTTCATCTCTACTTGACCCTTAAGTCCTCTCAGCCCTTAACCATTCCAACGTCAATGACATGAACACCAGGGTGACCCGTTAGGTTTGCTATCGCAATGTACCGACGGGTGTGGGTCAGTAGATTCGAGTTGCGGTGACATGTGGAAACTAGCTTCATTCATACGGCATTTATTGGCTGTCCAGTTGTCTCGGGCTACTGTGGCACTTTCGCGCCAGACTAATGTGATCCGGTGCGAATGTCGCGCGCGCACCCTTGTGCTATATTCATTGTTAATCAACTATTAGAACAATGGAGGACCCTTTTATGAATGTCTACCACGGCATGTCCTGCAGTTGGGGGAAAATTTTGCAAAATACAACCCCCACCACTCAAAATTTCCTCCTCTGAAACGACCCTCTTCTTATTCAATGTCATCTTTTTGAATTCTCCAAGCATCTTACTACTTTTCTCAGCATTCTAATTCTTCCTGCTTTTACTGGAAACTGTGGCGAGTGGAGGGAAAGGTGGCGGCATACCTAAGTCTATCCTACCTATCACTTTCCTAGATTTTCCTAACTTCCTACGACTATTTCCAGATTTTTCGGCATTTTCCCGAAAGTTTAGATTAGTTTTTCCCGAAAACTTTGCTCTTGAATTCGGGGGGGGGGGAGGGCCTAGCGAAACTAAGGTAAATACTATTTTCAACCATCGCGGTTTAAAAGGTAAGTTGTGTAAATCTTTGGCCAGGTGAAGGAAAGTTTTTCCCAAGCTTCCAATTTCTTTCAAAGACAAAATACGGACCCACCCCCCTCCCAAAACCAGCAATACGATGCCCCCTCCTCCCCTCTACTAGCGTCGCGCTGAAACAAGCAGGCAGAGAGAAAATGACTTCCATTTCAGGAGAAAAATTTTCAAACCAAATACGACTCCTCCTCGCTCCCGGTCAAATACGACCCCCTTTTTTTTATCTCTACGATAGCGTGGCCTGACGATGACGTCCCGATCGCCACCAGTCCGTCAACCGATTGAACGTTGACGTGCCCCTATGATGATATTTCATCGTGATAACTGACAAACTGCCTGACTTTTCCATTTTTGGGACAAGTAGAATGTATGAAACACCACATTTAGTAGTCGTATAACTAAATGACGCAGTTTTTTTTTTCAAATAGCCTCCAACAAGAAATAACCCTTAGTTATGATTATTTTCCAGGCTGGAACACCAATCGTTTCTCTCTCAGCACACATCGAAAGGCTACCAAATCAACAAACTGCAAAAAAGTTACTTATTCTCACTCCAACTCAGGTGAGATTCATCAGATGGATTTGAATGTATGAACCAGTGGAGAGGGCGCAGTCAGGCCCGCCATTATGCTTTATTCACAGACGCGCCCTTTCTTATCAGCGTTTCAGAAAAGTGTTCCGCACTAAATAGCAATGGACAGCCGAGTGCGGCGGCATTGGCGCATTAAAAAGACGGTGAAGTTCGGCGACGGGGGAGGGGGGGGGCATTTTGCACTTTTGCTACTTCCCATCAACGTGTCGATATCTAGACAGCCTCTTCTCGAGTTGACAGGTTTTACCATGATGGCTTGACGACCTTGCTCCAGCTCACAAGAGTCACAGGTTTCGCCAGAGTGAGACTTGTAAACCGGAACTAGGGAAGCAATGATAGTACAAAATGCCCCTTCGTAGTCGAACTGCTCCAAAAAATACTAGCAGTGACCAGTGATAAATGCATACCAGGACCAATATTAGGCGCCTTTATGCCATGATAAAAAGGGCGACCAAAGAAATCCTTAGATACCAAGTGATTTCCAAGGATAAACCGTGCCTTTTAGCTCATTCTACTGCCATCGTCGGTGTGCCATCGTGTCCAGTCATGTACAGAGTGCTTATCAATAGGTGACCCAGAATGCGCCTGGGTGCTACATGGAGTCGAATGTGTGGCCGTCAGCGCAAACGTGTAGTGAGTAGAATTGGATATTGAAAAACTAGAAAGAAAATTTTGCCCAAAGTGACATATTGCCTTAACTGTTAACAGTTCGAAAAAAATTAGGTTTCAACATGAGAATAATTGAATTCTATCAAAAGAAAGCCCGTGATGCATAGTTAAGGCTTGCAAGCTGCGCGCATTTTTCGCTCGCCGCGCGCGGTGGCCTAGAATCCATGGTAAGCATACCTGCGGTGATTTCCCGTGATGAATGGCTTATCATCTAGAAAAATTACTGCATTTGGATCGACAACGCTCAGACTTCGCGATGAGTGCTGTATCGCACGTGAATGCACTACCGCTGCGATGCCGCTCCAATGGGTTACGGAGCACTTGTCAACCAGACGTGCTCTCGCTGCGAGGGTCCAGGGGTATTTTCTCGAGGCATCTACCAGTCCAGTAGTTCAAGGGAGAAGGTAAAGGAGGAGGGATCAGAGAAGGGAGGAAGGAAAAGAAGGAAGGAGGAAGAAAAAAAGAGAAGAGAGGCTTCCCGGTTGACAAGTGCCCGACCGCTCTAATGCTAAATACTCGAACATTGAGGCGGCAGCCGGGTATCGATGGATGGCGGTCGCATGCGTTGTGGAAGAGTATAGGGTAATAGGAGGGAACCAGTGTGTGAAGGCGGAACCCTCCTTCACGTTATCTGTCTCAAAACACAAGCGGCCGGCGCCAATCGATACCGGTCTGCGGCCGTGTTACCTTCTACAATATCGGTTGTGCCGTCAAATTATGGAGGCGCGTCCGTATCGCGCGTCCATCGCGAAGTCTAAACCTGCTCTTCCGCTCAGCCCGGGAAACGAATGAAGGGCAAGATAAATGGGGGAGGGGCACGCTGCGGCGCTACTATGATAAGCCATGCTCTATTGTATTGACATTTCGTACCAGATAGATATGAACTCGATCCCTATCTCAGTGAGAGGCTCAGGGAAGTAAGCACGACGTGTATATTCGCGCTTTCGCCTGGCCCTTTCTGATCTAATGTATACTACTAATGGTGGCAGACATCTGTTATTTATTACGATGAGGTATCTCATGCGGTAACAAACACTGTAAGCCGATAGAAAACATGAATGTATGAAAAAAACACAACAAATGCCTAAATGCTAGAAGGGAAATCAATTATTTGAATTAAAACGGAAATCATCATGATTCTAGGTATTGGCTGAGTATTTTATATTATTTTATATGATTATGTTCAATCCCAATAATAATCGCTTTGCTTTCAGCCGACGTGAATATTTGACGCAAGATGTAGAGAAGTGCAGTACCCAAGTGGTCGAAAAAACTACAACTACACCACAGCCATTACTCCAACGTAGGTTTTCGGGAAGATTCTATCTTCATTTTTATATCGCCCTTACCAAAACTGTTCCTGCGCTCCTGGAAAATAAAGAGATGAATCCTAGTGCGCTTTCACAACTTTAAGTGATCTATGCCGTGTGCGAATTGTTCTGTTTCACCTCCACCCGGGAGGATGGGGATAGTTCATCACATCCGATCGCTTCCCACATATCTGGCCCTTATAGGGATATTTTCTAACGCAATAAGATTTCTCCCTGTTCTTGACGACTCCTTTCCTCCTATTTCATGTACGCTTATAGATTGTGTCGCGACAAAAGTTTTTTCTTTGTGGAAAGGCTGGAGAATCTGGAAAAAGTGAGTGGGTGGTTGGGAGAAATAAGAAAAATGGTAGATCAAAGAGAGGATGGGGAAGAAGGGTCGTATGAATTTCGAAAAACCTTCCTCTTGCAGCAGGGAATGCCCTGGCTTCTCCCAAAGAGGCTGAGGCAGTCTGTTTACGGACATCTTTTCACTGACTGGGTACTGGTTTCAGGTAAAATGGAATGTTTATGCGAATCACCCACACACGTACCGTGCACCACTGAAGTCTTCCAGAGAGAAGTCGTCACCAACACGGCTGAATTTCGTAAGTCTTTCATCTAATAAAGTCTTTGATTCTTAACTCGTTGAGAATTTTGATTTGATAAAGCACTGATGAAGTCTTGCGGGTTTTTTTTACTACTTGGGTTTTTTGACTACTTGATAGTTGTACTTGCCAGCGAGCTGTCTAAAAAAAACAGATGATCGTTCTCCAACGGCGTTAGCAGCTGCTTCCGGCTAGGACTACTGCGTATGGGAGAAGTAGCCGATTTTTTGATCTGAACAAAAAAGTCAATGCGCGAGCCATAAAGCAGCCTCAGCAACCCAGTTTGGACGTCACCACCGCCCCTTAGTGGCGACCCCATTTCAATAAGAAGAAGGGACCCTCGTGTGAAGAAGGCACAGAGGGCATACATCGTATTTTGGCTTTTATTTGCTTCTGGTTGGAAAACTAAGTCTGAAAAGCTTTTATCAGTCTTATATCCCAATTCAATAATTTCAGTGAATCCCTGGGCATGGTTTCTGTTCTGCATAGGACTCGCCTCAGGAGCGTTGCTGAACTTGATATTAACAAGATCGAGGTAGGTGAAAGTTAAGTGATAGCCGAAGTATGACAAGACAGTTCAGGACTGCCGGGTGGGCGGTGCCAGAGTACGATGTCATTGTTAACCCCTCTCAACTCCATTACCACTACCACTGAGTGAGAGGAGAGGAGGGACCGCACTAACGTCGTAGCCCAAAACCGCCCACCTGGCCAAACGTACAGTCGTTATTAGCGAATGGTTAACGTCGAGAAGTATCAGCGGCGCGTGGATTCTAGCACGGCGCCAGACCATTTCCCGTCAATCTTTGAGCTTTCAAGCCGCAGCGATCGGTGGAAATGTGCTAGAGTCACGCCAGAACTATGCCCGCTAAAAGACCACGACTGACCTCAGTGACAACGATTGTCCCGTCTTAAGCAATTTGCGATTGGCAGTGGAGCGAATAAATGTGAGGCATTGTTCACACTCTGCGGTCCAGCGTTTCTCTGAAACGCGGCGGTTCGGCGAAAAGCTTTCGATACATATCGACTGGCGGTTGGGCGAAAGGGTTTTGGTACGTATCGACGGGCGTTTCGCCAAACCGCGACGTTTTTCGCCTTCGACAAAACGCTAGCTCGATCGCGGTTTCGATACGTCTCGTTCT